GCACCATTATCCTGTGACACTGCCTGGTATTCCATTGTGCTATGTCCCAGGGTTGGTTTGTTCATTCTTCTACTGATGGGCACTTGGGGGGTTTCCATCTTCCTGCTGTTGTGCACAGTAGCTGTGATGAATCTGGGTGTGCACATCTGTTTATGCTCCTTATTTCATTAGGTTATATACCACACAATGGGAGAGCTGGATCACATGGTATTTCTATTCCCAGTTGTTTTAAAATCCCACCAGCCGTGTCTGAGGATTCCAGTCTCTCCATACCCTCTCCAGTACTTGTTTTATGGTTTTTGGGTGTTTTTTGTTTTTTTTTTCACTTTGCTGTCAATTCTGGGTTGAGGTGGTATCTCACCGTTGTTTCAATTTGCAGCTCTTGGCTGCTTATCTTCTTTGATAAATGAACTGTCCTTTCAGGTCCTCTATTTTAAAATTGGATTACTTTTTTTTCCCCCTTTTTGAGGCGATTGTTTTCTATAGATTTTAGGGATTGTCTAATATGTCACTGCCAAAATTTCCTCCCGTCGGTGGATTCTCTTTTTACTCTTGCTGAAATCTTGGAACGCACACAAGTGCCTTACTTTTCAGAGGTGTCAGTCTTCTGTGGTGTTTTGTGTGTGGTGAAATTTCTTCATATGGCTCTTTTAGCCATATGTCTGTAACCCCCACCAAATGGCCAGGACTATGCAAATAGGGTGTGTGAAGCACAAAGAGGACTGGTCAGTTTTGGTGGCCATGTCCTTGTGCATAAGAGAGCCAGCTGTCTCAGGAGTCCCAGGCCCATCAAAGAAGAGCCACCTGTGGAGCGTGTTAGAAATCCCTGCCTGAAGTGGCAGAGGCAGTGGAAACCACGCCGCTCTGAGACCCGAGGCCAACCATGAGATGGCAGAGGAGCAGCACTGAAGACTCTAGGTCTGAGGCAGCATGGCAGGACTTCCCGGATCAATGAGGCAGAGGCCAAGGAACCACGTGTGTGAGAGGCTGAGGCCTAGGGAAAGACTTGGCTGCGGGCTGAGAAGTCTTGCTTGTGGACCAGTGACTGTATCTTCAATGTTTTCTGTGCTGACTTATGGTAACCTGTTAAGTTCCCTCAGAAACCCCCTTCCTCATAAGTATTGTCTAAGTCTGTGAGGTTATTGCAATGGATTATTGAACTCAGCAGAGAATTGAGTGCCATGGAAGGAATAGCTGATCAGAATAAGGTGGGTGGAGGCATGGCTGACCTCTGTCTTGTGGGATTGAATTCTCTCTCCCTTGTTTGACTGGAGGTGGTTAGATGTGTCCCCATGCCTTTGTTTTTCTCCCCATTATGTCTGATATATCTGTGCTATCTAACTAGGGCTCCTAAGTTTGTCTCTATATTTTCATTAATGATTTTTATATTTCTAGGATTGGAGCTTGTTGTTGTATGTAGACTGGGTATGGGCCCTGGGTCCTGTCCCATTCTTTTGCAAATAGAAATCCAATTTTGCCTACATTTGTTGAAGA